GATTGTGTCATTTGTTAAGAGCCGGCTAGAAGGGGCTGACATCCTGTTTATCAAATGCCAGCAACTACTTTAAGAATGTTTTTGCTCTAAGTTTCTTTTTACTATTTCCAATTGCACCTTGCTACCTCTAGTTAATTTAACTACCTCTTACTTAATGTGCCTTATTTATTTTATCCAAGTTAGTAATATATATATATATGGTTTTTTAGAATTAATTTTAGAATCTTTTTTAATCTTTTTTTAATTATTAGAATCTTTTTTACTGTATATAGTTGCCAATGCTTGCATTATACCCATTAGTCCCAAATAGCATAGACATGTGTGTTATCCAAGGCTATGATGTATGTATTCCTTAGAAATTATTGCATTTAACCATTATAATATAGTGCATAGGGAGGGGGGACATGTGGGTAGTTAGGGCCTGGCGGCCGGAAGATATCGCGCTGTACGGAAAGCATAGGGCCCCTCTCCTAATAGCCAATACCGTTTGATTTACGACGTAAGCAGGCGGATGTGACGTTGTAAACTCAGGCTATAAAACACCGTGTCACCTATCAATAAACGCCATTTGCCGTCCACCACATTGGTGTCTGTGAGCTGATGGCCCGCGCAGACCCAGAGGGGGGGTCGCCGAGCCGTTCCTGAACCAGGTCGCTACGCCGCTGAAGGCAACACAGGTACTTGGTCACATTAGTGAGAAACTACTGCTTAATGCTTCTTTTGGGAGATAAATTGCAATGTGGAGTTCTTGCTGGCTATGAGTGAAGGTGTTACAGTGCTGATGTGACAACACAAAACATGCAGTGGAGCTGAGAACTCATGCTTGCTTCTTCTGAAGTCGCAAGGCAAGCACAGGTTGGAGCAACCAATAACTGGGGGATATTTAAGTATTTTGACCACAACAAGTTTCCTCAGATTCTTTACTCCTCTCACCTGTCCCAGTATTCTCTGCCAAGAGAAAACTATCCAGTGATACTTATTCCCTGAATTTTTGGGCATCTTCACACAAAAGCGCTTGAGTGATCTGAAAATAAGCTTACTGTCACTATAAAGTGTACTGAGTTCAGGCAAATCAATGGTGACTGGTGGCTTGATGGTAGCACTGGAGCTGAACAGTCAGTTTATGAAAGAACTATTAATGCCTCACTACCATGGCCAAAAAAGCTCTGGTGATCCCAAAACTGTTAAAACATCACAGTGATTGTATTCCAGACAACCTTTCAGGCAGACTGTGACCATCCCCCAGCTGACACGGAAGAACATGACCTAGACCTGATCTTAATTTACTGCATGAAGTGGCTGTGCTGCACGTTTGACGTGTATATGCTGTTCTAGTGTGGCCAGAGAAGGAAGGTATCTCACAGAAGGCAAGGATCTGGAGCTCCTTCCCCAGCCTAGCTACTGTTGTCTCACAAAACCTTGGGTAGGCACTTAATACCTGTTGAAATCTCAATACTTCTGTCAAAATTAGATGAAAATGACTGTTCAGTTTAAGTGTTACTCGGATGCACAATGAAAGGGATAAGACTGACAGAAAGAGTGCTGAGTTTTACTTGCATATTGTCATCAACCAGCAAGGCTGAGGCCAAGAAAGAGAGAAGTTTCCAGACAAGCTGTTGAGAAAAGTGGTCTGGAATGGTCTTTGCCATCTAGAACAATACCTTTCAGTATGGGATGAGCTGTCGTCAGCTGGATGGAGGGCCTCCTGCCTTGCATCATTGCTCTTGTGTTTTCTGGCCTGTGAGAAACAGGTGGACTATGAAAGGAAAGAGTCAAGAAATTAATCAATGAATGTGGTCAAATGATGTCTCACACCTATCACATACAGTTGAGAAACAGGCCTTGTAGTTTCTATTCTCCATTGTGTTGCATTTTCATTCTGAATCCCTGACACATCTTTCTTCTACTTGAAATGGGATTAATGATGCAACCTTGCAAAGGAGCTGAGTACCCAGGGCTGCTGCATGTTCTGAAATACTGAGGGTGACACTTTTTTCCTAACTAAATAAATCCATTCTGCTACTATGTGCGACACTCTAGTGTTGCTGTTTCTAAGTGGATCCTGTAGGGATCACACGGTGTCAAGCAATTGCAAAAAAGGAGAATGGAGAACTGTGGCCAGCCTGATACTACCCTTGAGGCTAAGTCATGGGTGAGAAGAAGAGCACATAGCGTTAGCACGACTGAAGTGTGCGTGGCAAATTCTGGCTGATGTTGAGTAGGAATGAGACATGCTGAATAATTGAGCCTGCTTTATCAAGGGCACATACCTCAAATGGGTTGTTTTCTTGCATCTGGATTGGTTTTCCCTCTCTGTTTTTTCTTCCCTGGTTTGTGAAGTAGAGTTGTTAAGCAGATGAGCTACAGTCATGGCTTGTGCTTCCTCTTCTTTAGCTCTGCTCAGCCTTTGATTTTGCTGCAGTTCGAGGATCAGCTCTTGCTGTTTCTGAAGCTGCTGCCTCTGTTCCTCAATCAGACATTGCTGGAAGGCATAACGGTGCTCAAAACGCCTACCGTAAGCAGGAGCTGTCTTTGGACCTGGTACTTGAAACTGCTGGGGGAGAGTGGCTATTTGATTCCTATACACAGACTGGTCTTGAGTACTTGGGGCTGCATGTTTTAGGGTAATCTCCCTGGCAAATTTGGGTTTCCTGTAGGAATGAGATGTGTGAGCAGCATCCCAGCAAGAGTGGTCTCTGGTCTGGTCCAGTTCTTTCTGTATGAGACAATTTTCAGTTGGCTAGGGGTAAAAAAAATATAAATGAGGAAAATTTTGCATTGATTAAAACCAAGCACTCTTCTGCCTTCCTACATAGTAAGTGTTTCTTTAATGCAAATCTAGGAGATGCCTGAGAAGTAGGGTAATCTCAGCTATGCAGTCTTTATGCAGTTTCTAGCCAGGGCAGAGGGCCTCCCCTTATGTACAAAATGGGAGGCTGTAGGAAAGAACTGCTAAGGAGCTGTGTGCCATTTCACCAGAAGGAAGAAATCTTGATCAGGCAAGAGCTCTGGCAGGAATATATCCTGACTGTTTTGTTAGGGAGCACATCTTAAGACAGCTCATCTCTCAGAGATTAGCACACTCTCTTTCAGACTGTGTTGTCCCCACTCAGCGCTTAAGACAGAGAATAAAGGAAAAAACAGTTGTTGAAGTGATCTACATGGCTCATCTACTGGACAGTACCTCTTCAGGTGGAAGAGAAGTCGACAAGGTGCTGCTTCCTCATGCCCCTTCTCCAGCTTTGATAAATACTAAACATGAAACTGCTGCACAGTGGGGAAAGAGGCTGCACCTCTTCTGACACATGGACTGTCTCTGAAAAGGCATCAGACCTAAGGTCTGCTTTATGATTCCTAGGTTAAACCCCAAATTCAGTCCTGTCTTTCCGGCACAAATTTTACAAATGTATCAGAAGAAAAATATGGGCCTACTAGGATGTATAAGCACAGTAGGAAATTATTTGCTGACACTTAAACAAATGAAAAGCTTGACCTATGCATGTGTGTGAGCTCTCATGCCGGGATTGGGATACTGCTGGGCTACAGGTTTTATAGACAGAAAGGAAGGGCAGGCCCTGACCTGACAGCTGACAATTTAAGGAAGCAACCTCTAATTCTCCTCTCCTGCCTCCTTGTGATGTGCATTATCCTGAAAGAGTGACAACATTTTTCCCCCACGCTTAAAGCCAGAGAGCTGCACTGGCACGACAAAATCTCTTGTAATGCAGCCAAGCATTATTCTTTTTTAAGTCTAAGCAGGTACCAAAGATGTAACTAATTTCTCAGCAAAAGTGATCTGGGGGTGGGATGCTCACTGCGACTCACAGTACATGGAGGGTTGTTCACTAGCAGCCTTAGAGATCATTTTTAAAACTCATCCACTGTCCTTCAAGTTTGCCTCCGATTTTTAAAGACTTCTCCCCTGAACAGTTGCAGGCAGTTATTTGGGGGTCACCCTCAGAAAGAAGCCCTTCTCTAGGACAACGTACTCTTTATTTCAGATTGCACAAAAGAAGTATCTTTTAAGAGTACTGAGATGCAAAAAGACAAAACTACGTGGGTAGGGTTTACCTTGTCCTGCTGCAAATCATGATGATGGTTTGCTTCTGCTGTCTCAGGCTTGTTAACCTCCAGTGGCCTGTCCAGACCACCCTTCCCCACTGCCACTGCCTCCAGCAGCTGTGCCATCTTTTTCTTCTTCTCCTCCCTTTTGATCTGCAGCTCTCGCTTTTCTTTCTCTGCTTGGCTCCAGCGCTGCCATGCCAGAAAGCAGCAGCGCAAAAGCCATTGCTGGTAATGCTCTGCAGACAGTTGTTCTTTCCTGAATGAGAAAGCACTTTTGTTATGATAGGAGTGAGGCTTATGGCCAGGTCTGCCTGAATCAATTGCATCAAATACAGCAGTCTAGGCCATGGCATGAGGCCTCATAACTTCCCAAGTCTTTTTGTCATTTGACTCTGAAGGGCCTCCAAAGCTATACAGAGTTACTCCAAGGAGGAGCGGGAGGGCGGAAAGCATGCCAATTATTTTGAAGTAAGTTTCCCTAGTTCATATTTTGCAATTTCCTGTGTTATTCTTGGGCTATAGAATAGGTGCAAAAGAGGTATCCTGTTCCCTTACCAGCTGCACAGGGGAAAGTGGCAGTGCCTCATCACACAGCCTGACAGATATCTGCAAGAACAAAATTTTCTGTCTGATAAGGAATTCATCCAACAGCCTCCCTAATAAAAGGCACTGGGCAAAATTCTCTCTGCTATACTACTACTGAAGTAGGAAATAATGATATCAATCAGGAATAGATATGGCATCTCATATTCTCTAGGGCTCAGAGCAAGCCAGGGTGAGATTTCCAGGAAAGATAACTACAAAGAGAGTGAGATGCAGGCTTGCTGGAAAGTGCTAAAGCTCTTGTTTATCTCTGTCCTCCTTTTCACCTGTGCCACAATGCCTCTGGCAGACTGCAGGCAATGTAGCCATTTTCTGAAAAAGCTACCATTTTCCTCCTGCTGGCTAACTGGCAAACCCCTTTTACAGTCCCAGATCACTGCACTGCTCAAGTTCTGCTGCAGCAGGAGGAATTCCACAGTGTAGGGTCACTACCTGTTTTGTTCTTGGAGATGAACTTCCAATTGTTGCGTCTCCCGCTCTACTTTCTGGGCCCAAGTATAGTTTCTCCAGGCTCGTAGGGCCTTCAGTTGGCATTTCCAGTCAGCAAAGGCTCTGGCTTTTCCCATTTGAATTCTGTGCTCCAGAATGACTTTCAGCCAAGCAGAGAAATGTCGTTGCATGCACTGCATGGGAGAGTTTCAGAAAACCAATGAGCAAGATACAGCCCATGACACAAATCCTGATCGTCTCCACCCTTCCCCTTATCTGACTTATTTTTTGAGATTTTTTTTGGAATCCCCACTTTCAACAATTGCCTTGAGAGTAAAAAAAAAGGTAACACAGAGCATGTGCAGGTCTTCTACAAAAAGCAGAAAAGGACTAGAAAGATACCATCATGGGGCTCTATGCTCTTGAGTGAAACACACTTAAGTTACAGAATCACAGAATCACACAGAATCACAGAACGTTAGGGATTGGAAGGGACCTCAAAAGATCATCTAGTCCAATCCCCCTGCCGGAGCAGGAACACCTAGATGAGGTTACACAGGAAGGCATCCAGGCGGGTTTTGAATGTCTCCAGAGAAGGAGACTCCACAACCTCTCTGGGCAGCCTGTTCCAGTGCTCTGTCACCCTCACTGAGAAGAAGTTTCTTCTCAAATTTAAGTGGAACCTCCTGTGTTCCAGCTTGTGCCCATTACCCCTTGTCCTATCATTGTTTGTCACCGAGAACAGCCTGGCTCCATCCTCGTGACACTCACCCTTTAAATATTTATAAACATGAATGAGATCTCCCCTCAGTCTCCTCTTCTGCAAACTAAAGAGACCCAGCTCCCTCAGCCGCCCAAGTGTAAAGGAATAAGGGTAATGAACATAGAATTTCTAGAATAGGAAAGATGTTTCAAAATATAGAAAATGTCTAAGATGCTACAGGTAAGAATATTTCTGTGGAGAACAGTTCACAAATATCTCCATGGAACACCTTTTTTTAATTTTTAACTTAGACAAAAAACAAGACACTTCTTAATCTGTATTTATGACATGACCTAAGCTCATCCTTTTTCCAGTACGAAGCAAAACCTTTCCTCTGTTGTGTAATTAGACTTACTGCCTCTGGGAGTGATTTACATTGTACAGAACAGCAATTTGCTATCTAATCTAACCCATAATTCCAGTTCTGTCACTGCAGACACTGTTCATTTTGATCCTCCAAGTGGGTCAACTCACAGGACTTAGCTGTTCCCTATTTGACATAATGCCTTGTTTTAATTGCATTCCTCATACTCACTGAAATCTCCAAATAGAGACTTACAAAAAGGACAGAATGTCACTGCATTAGCTATTTCTTTCTGCTTTAGGAAAATAATCAAAGTGTCACTATTGCTTAGCTCAGCTAAGCTGCAGCTTCGCACATTATACCAGCCCTAAATTGTTCTGTGGCTTCATTCAGGCTTATCTTCATAGCTTAGACTGTGCTGGAGAGAGGTTGTGTACTGCTAAACAGCAGCCACGTTCAAATCCAGCAGGCGAGCAGAGGAAGTAAGCTGTAGGGAGATTCACCACAAAAGCTATGAGATTCTTCTATGAAAAGAATTCTAGCTGTAGGTAAGCAGACATTAACGATGATGACTGTTTTATTAATTAAAAACATGGATGGTGTACACACTTGCACTCAGTGAAATTTATTCCCTTTGCTGAGACTGCCCATATAAAATTATTCAGTACAAAAAGATCACTCAGTAATCACCAGTTCTGATACAACTAGGTGTCTGACCCAGAGCTGGCATTGGTATCAGAATAATGAGGGTAAAAGAAATAGGTTCCTACTAGGAATTAATAAATTCTGCATGTTTGCCTCAAAAGAGGTATTTCACTATCACAGAACATCCTACTGCACCCAGTGGGGGTGGTTCCTTGTTACTGTGGATGTACTGGCATACTTCAGCTCTTGAAGACACAGCTCAAAATTCATCCCAGGCCTCAGCACTTCTTCCCTCTGTCCTCTCCCTGCCCCTGCACTAGGCTCTGCAAGGCAATCTTTAAAATGTCTCTCCACATGCACAATAAGGGCTTCTCAGGAAGTGCCACTTCCCTCATTTTAATTCCTTCTTCAAGGGAAAACAAATTTTGCTCTGTTACCTCCTCTGTATATCTGCCTATTTCTCAATTGCAGAAGCCTTTATGTTTGCAACTGTCCTGAGAGCCACATCTTTCCCACAATTCTAAATGAAACCTCCCACTGCGTACACTTTAGGCACAGACAGACCAGGGGTAGAGGCTCAGGATTTCATGCTCCTAATCTTACTGGTTTTTGCCCTGCTCTTCTACTTTCCTAGTATCAGGAAGAGGATTTGGAAGAAGTAAATTCTGATAACCAGGATTTTTTACTTCAGTTTTTCAAATGGTAGCTAAGGGCAGGTAGCTCAGAGTCTCAGATAAAGAACAGCGATGCTCACTCTCTGCTTATTGGTGTGAATCCTGCACAGTAGCTCCTGAGCCTTTCTCTGTTCCTCCTCTCCTTGCTCTTCTTTTTTCGGGACCAGGGGTGGTGATGCAGTAATAGATGCCTCCTGCATTGACAGCTTCTGACTTTTTACTTGTCTCTTTCCCTCCCTGGAAAGTGAACAATCATACAGACCTAATGCAATGAGGAAAATACTGTAGCACAGATTTCACTCCCTTTTTAACCAATCCTAAGAGAATCACCTCTGCAACTTAGAAAGTTGCTGATTATTTAACTCAACCTTCCTAGAAAACAGCCTCTGTCATTGTTTGGGGTCCCAGAGATTAAAGAGTTTGAAGCATTTCCAAAATAAAGCAGGCAGAAAAAAAACCAGATTTCAGAAAAGCACTTGCATGAGAAGATTTGGATCTCAGGGCTGCCTAAGTAAATAAATGGCATCCCTACAAGTCACATCTCTGTGACAATCCATGCTCAGCAGAAGCAAAAATTATGTCTATGCAAAATTCTCAGCCAAGAATGCTCTTTATTCTCTCATAGAAGAGGAGATATTTTAAGTGCTAGACTTTCAACACAGACTGTTCTTTTTTGTTTGTTGGTTGTTTTTTTTTGTGTACTGGCTTTCATGCTGCATCAGAAGCTAACAAAGCTGGATGTAGTCACAGCATTGATGGAGAGAATGCATGGTGGTGCAAACACACTCCTACATTGTGACACAGTGTACATACTGGTAATGGCTGAGAGGAGGCTATCAGTATCTTTAGTCCATCTTTCCACTAATGATAAACCCTGCCACTGACAACAAAGGATGATAACATATAAAAGGTTTTGGGAGAATTTGGAGACAAAGGAATAGCAGATGTTTCCTTTGGGACCACCGCTCCTGTTACATTTAGCAAAAGGATCTGATAAGTGTTTTTCATATGATTCTTTCCATGCCCCCCTCTCCCTCTTACGCTCTCCATGTGTCTGCCATGGCATTTTCTTTTCTTTTCTCAGCCATTTCCTTTCGCAGCTTCACCATTTCCCTTTGGATCTCCTTCTCCTCCTTCTTGGCCTTCAGGGCCCTTCTTCTTTCCTCCTCCTGTACTTGGAGCTTGGCCTCAGACAGAATTGATTTCTGCAGGGACTTTTCTTGTCTGTGAAGCTCTAATGCCTTCTGACGTCTTATTCGGTTTTCTTTCACCTGAGGAGGAGGAAATCGGCAAAAGTCAAAGCAGACACCAAAGGCTGAAGAAATCTGAGGTACACTGTACACTGACAGGGTGGGTGACAATCCACATTTCATGTGAAGCAAGCAATTCTATCTATAGCTGGCATGGACTGGACTGGTTCTGCTCTCAGACCAGTAAAAAACTCTATTCAAGAGTGAGGTTAAACCAGTATTACTTGATGGGAGCAAACTCAAAACTGACTGCCATGGCATCTTTTCTTGTCAGTCTTCAGAAAGGTGGAAATGGATGCAGTGAAAGTTGACTGTGCAAGCTACTGTGAACAGCTAATGTGCATGGGGAAACTCAGTAACATTTCAGCTAAACTGTGGAAGAGTTCCCTCGGGTATCTGCCTCCAAACCAGAGATTGTTGCAGGCTGGGAAAGAAGTATCATTGAGTATTTACTCTAACCCTATGAAATCCTCCATCTTATTCCTTTTAACTGTGCTGCCTTGCCTGCTCACCTGCTTGTGTCTGAGCTCCATGGTCATTCGTGGATCTGTAAATTTTTGTCTTTCTTTGATGTCTTCAAGTTTAAGGCCTTCCACTATTCTACGGTTCACAGCTTCACTCTGCAAAAGATGCTGTATGTAGTCTTGGACAGAAGAACTTTCCATTTCATGTTCCAGATAGCTGCACAAATCTGAAATGAGGGATTCAAATTATATCAGGCTAGTCTGAAATGAAGAAACCCCTCTGTCTCAGATCACAAAGCCTAATGTAAGTAAAAGGATCACTTTCCCAGACTCTGAATGTGTTTCTGATGAAAGCAGACACACTGACTGCACTCCATTTATCCCCAAAGAGTCTTAATTAATCTCTCATTGAATACGCTAGAGTAGTAACAACATTTTTGTCCATTTTTTACTGCCTTGCATCTGAGCATTTCAAACAGCTGTATAAATCTGACATACACAAAAGAAATAAAATTTCCATTTTACAAAGGAGATACCAAGTCTCTATGAGGTGCATTTATGCAGCGCCACAGAAGCTGCTGTAAGAGCAGGGGGAGAAAAATCATCACCTCTAATCTTGTTTCTACCCAGCCCACTATCCTGGCCTCAAAGCAACTTTCACCTCTGTCTGACAAGCCACGAGGCCTGGCTCCCTTCCCCAGCACATCCTCAAAAAAGGAAGCCAGGAACTGCTTTGTTGTGCTCTCACCATCAAACTGCTCATACTTCAGAGGGGCTGCAGAAGGCTTTTTCTGGAGGACAGAGTGAACTTCCTCTTCCCCATCACTCTTCAGCTCCAGCTGCAGTTTGGACTTCATCCAGTTGCTGAGCAGTTCTTGGGCTACCACAAAGAAAGAGACTGATGACTTTATTTGCTTAAAAAATATATGGGTAAGCGTAAACTAGCAAGACTGTCTCTGGGATAGTTATATCATATGCTGGGAAGGCTGTCTAGAATGACTGAAAGCTGATCTGCAACAGAAAATGAAATAAGGCTAATAGTTCTGTCCTCATCTTCTTGATCTATTAAATAATAGGAAGAGAAGGTGGTAAACTTTTTCCCTGTCACATATGTCACAAATGAATTCTTCTCCACCTTATTTTTCCTACAAGATTCTGTGGACATTTAAATTACTCATGTGATTATTATGGCATTTATCAAGGAGACAGAATTCACATGACGTAATTCATATCTCAGATAGCTTTCGGATGTTTTACCACTGCACTTGCAGACACTTAAATATTTTCCACATGTACAGCCAATATTGCTGTATGTTAAATACCAAAAGAACCACTGTTTGGATTAACCTTTGCTTCATGTGTACAGGTTAACCTTTGCAAGTACCACAGCTCCAGGAACAACTGTTGAGTCTAGATTACTAATCTGCCTGGTGGCAAGCTTCACCTGTACACAGAATTAAGCCTGCAGCTACAGGAGTGCACCCACAATGGATTTGGTGATCTTCAATGAGTTCAAATGCCTAATGGACAACTGGGTATAAAGCCCTTCTGTGGACTTTATTTGCATCTCCATTGTTCTGTGGAAAAATGCAAAAATTCCTTTTTCAGAGTTCCTACTCAAAAGCAAGGACAGCTAATGTGGCTGCTGCTTCACCAAACCACCTGGCCTTGCTGCGTGGGTGGCCAAGCTGCTCCTGAAGCAGAACACAGGGCTCTTCAGAACCAGCCCCACGAGAAGCTGAGCCATCCATGTGGTGAGGATGGGCAAAGAGCAGGGACCTCAGCAGCCACTGTAGTGCAAGTTAGCCCCTGTAAAAGCACACAGCCAACAGACAGGAGAAAGCAGCTGCTCCAAATCTCTAGTTTTAACAAAAAATGAAGATGCTACCATTGAGTGCTGATACTTCTAATGCAATAAAGCCTTTTTAAAACTTCCTTAAAAAGGGGTGGGTCTTTTGAAGAAAACATAAATCTAATGTTTATTTTCCTTCAAGTCACTTTTGTTTTCTTTCATAATCATAGAATGGTTAGAGTTGGAAGGGACCTTAAAGACCATCCAGTTCCAACCCCTCTGCCATGGGCAGAGACACCTCCCACCAGACCAGGTTGCCCAAAGCCCTGTCCAACCTGGCCTTGAACACTTCCATGGAGGGGGCATCCACAACTTCCCTGGGCAATTTGGCCACTACTGCACCAGTGTCTCACTGCCCTCACAGTAAAGAATTTCTTCCCAATATCTGGTCTAAATCGACCCTCTTCCAGTTTAAAGCCATTCACCCTTGAGCTATCACTACCTGAAAGAGGGCTCACCCCAGTCTCTCGGGAACAAGGAAGAAAGAAGAGAAAGAAACACCTTATCACAGAATGGTAGGGGTTGGAAGGGACCTCGAAAGATCATTTAGTCCAATACTCCTGCTAGAGCAGGATCACCTACAGCAGGTTGCACAGGATTGTGTCCAGGCAGGTTTTGAATGTCTCCAGAGAAGGAGAATCCACAACGTCTCTGGGCAGCCTGTGCTCTGTCATCCTCAAAGTAAAGAAGATTTTCATCATCACTTAGGGAAGGGTTACTTTTTTGACTGGGAAATGTGAGCTTCTTATAACTGGAGGAAGGTATCTCTTATCGATACCTTTCATTACAAAGTGGACTATGTATAGCTCATTCTATTAAGTATTCTAATAATGAATTCCAGATAAAAGGCTTTCAGTTGAGCTAGGAACATTCCTGAGGGGTTGATAGCTATAAAAAGGAAAACCCTAGCAGAGTAGGGCAAAGAAAAACAATAAAGAAACATGAGGAAAGCAAGCAACTTCTCCACCAATTGCAAAGACAGCTCCTTTTGAGCCACTATGCTGTACAATGCATACAGGCAGCACGCTGTCAGCAGTCAGGTGTATTCCGTGCTATTAGGTGAACCCTTGAGAATCACAAGTGAAAAAGCTGACTTCCTGTATTGAAGTGGATGCTCTTGAGTCATGCCTTCTTTCCATTCTGTAAGGCTCACTTTTGAGTTTTGAAAGAATGGTTAACTCAGTTTTAAAAAAAATCCTGCCTCCTATCAGCTTTTTACACTGCAGATGTACTTCTAGCATTGATGGAAGATAATTTCCCTCTCTCTTTTCCTTTAAATATATTATGGTTTTATTTTCAAATTTCAGTAGGCACTTGTGGCTGCAGGGATTACCAAAGTAAGAATAATTTGGTTAGCTAATTAGTGAGGAAAATTTTGCATGGGAATCAAAGCAAAACCACTTAATTATTTGTGGACGTGAAAGTTACACAGAGCAACTCCATTTTCACATCTGGCCTGCTATCAAAAAATATGTCAGGTAATTTCATCTGGTTTCCTATAGCCCACTATGTTGTATTTGACCATACAGTGTGTCTTAAAGAGCAATATTCATCCTCATCTTGACCTGAAATCTCCAGGAGACAGAAAGTTTATCCTTCTTCTTAGGCATGCTAATCAAGATTTACCTTGAACTCCAGCAATTGATTCTTTTTATGCCTTTCTCTATTAGATGAAAGACATCTTACTGTGAACTGTTTCTTATGGTCTCGATCTTTGCAAGAGCCTGTTCAGACTAGGACCACAATGCTGAATCAAGAACAGTTCATTTCAGGCAACTTGTAGCAAGCAGTATTTCAGCTCACCTTCTTCACAGGCCTCATCATGATCTTGCAGCTGTTCCACAGTTTCCAAACTTGTCACACGACCACGAGGCTCCCGTGAATACCTTGACTTTCGAAGGAAAAAAACTTCGGAGACAGCACATTCAGAGGCTTGTTCCACTGTCTTTGAATTAAAGAAATTAAAACATTCTTAAGGATTGTTGGATATTAATTTTTAAACCTATATCCAGGTTTCTCCCTGAGAAAGAGCAGTGGGACTGTAACACAAGACACCAGGGCTGTTGTAAGAAACAGATTTCTTTCAGAACACGTTTCTCCAATTGCTCAATTGACTGGAGAAATCATCAAGTAATAAGCATTCATTTGGCAATTAGTGCCAATCATAGTGATTGGAGAACACATGGGGAGAATGCCAACACCAAGCCCCTGGGGACGGAATGAAGAGTTGCTGAGCTAGTCTCCAGCAACCACCAGCTATGAAATTTGGTATCAGCCTTTTGTCATAACCAGGCTGATCACTGTCTAAAGGGATTTTCTGTCCCATATTGATCTCTTCAAGGTGTAAATGGTCCTGATGTGTCACTGTGTTTTCACATGTAACACCTGTACTCCAGAGCCTGCATTTCTGCAGAACTTCCTCCCTTTGTGCTAGGGCAACCACAGCAAGCTGCTGCCAGAGGCCTAGGAGGCTGCATGAAGAGGCAGATGCATGCTCTGACCTGCCATAAGAAGCAGGCTGAAGGTGGGAGCATGGGAGGCCCCAATGAAGCAAAATAAAGAGAAGTTCACCCTAGAATTCACTTTCCTTGCTCTCAGGTGGTTATACATGCAGGAGATAGTGCTTTGGGGTAAACATCTTGTATTACTTATTCATACATACAACCAGCAGAATTGCTCAACAGCAAGTTTTGTGTGTGACCTGTGAGCCTTATGCATAGCAACAAGGTACCTTACTCTTGAGTGAGTTACTGTGCAAGTTACTTCACCTTGATCCAGTGTTCCAAGTTATCAGAGTCAAACTTTTGCTGCAAATAAGACAAAAAAAAAATAGCACTGCAACTACCCAGAGTTTAACACTGCGAAGTTCAGCACCATAGAATTATAGAATTGTTCTGGTTGGAAAAGACCCTTAAGATCATAAAGTCCCACTGTTAACTCTACTATGCCCACCTCTAAACCATGTCTCTGAGCACCAGATCTGGACAGCTTTTGAATACATCCAAGGATGGTGATTCCACCACTCCCCTGGGCAGCCTGTTCCAGTCTTTGATAACCTTTTCAGTGTAGAAGTTTCTCCTAATGTCTAACCTAAACCTCCCCTGGTGCAACTTGATGCCTTTTCTCCAGACTAAACAATCCCCGTTCCCTCAGCCACTCCTCATAAGACTTGTTCTCAAGTCTCAAGACTGTGGAACAAGTCCCTTCACCAGCTTCGCTGCCCTTCTTTGGGCCCTCTCCAGCACCCCCTTGTCTTTCTTACACTGCAGTGCCCAAAACTGAACACAGTACTCAAGGTGACGTCTCACCAGTGCCGAGTTCAGTGGGACAATCGCTTCTCTAG